GTAGATCTCGCCATAGATGTGACGAGACATATATGAAAGTTACGGATACTATATGCTTTGTGGAAGGGGCAGATTCGGTGTCGTAAATGTCTAACTGTTTAAATATACCCAAAAGCCCCCATCAATTAATACCAAGACCCGAAATGATCCAAATGTGTTTCCCCATGTGTACTCCGTATGCGTGAAAGAAATCTTGTGGCCCGAATGTTTTAGTATCCCCGCCGATCCCCGGCCGTCCCATCGCGCGGTACGCTGAAAGGCCGGCCCCACTACCCGGTGTGAGTGCCGGGACCCCTAGCTGAGTGTGCAGCTAGACATAGCCTTTCCTCATGTAGTATTGGTGATGCACGCAACCTTCAGCAAGGAAAGAAAGTTCCGCGTGGGCTACCGAGCGGAACTCGAGTGATCCAACGTGACCATCGTGTAGTTGTATGTCTCGCGTCTGATTGAGTATCTTCCTAAGGCGTTGCGGTCGAGATAGTGGGGTGTAGAAGAGGACGGCTCCCTGTAGGCTTCAGAGTCCGGTCTCCATGATGGTTGGGTTTGAGCGTGGGCGGAAAGCACTGGCGCTGTCTTACAATGAGTGAATGAACTTTCAACGTGAAAAAGGCTTTGTCTCTGCATGACGTATGGTGATGATGACGGAAGGGAAAAAACAATTTTACCTGGGAGCTCAGCACGCTGCTGTCTTTGACGTACCCGTTGCAGTACTTTGAATATGATGGGGGGGAGGGCGATGAATAGAGCGACAATGGCGATGACGGCCTCCGTTGAGATGCCCATTGTCAGGGCAACAATCCTTATGAATATATCTTACTGTTGAGATTTGAAAACCAATAGTATCCTGCGCCGCAGAGTCAAGACAGAACATGTGCGGGTGGTAGGAGAATGGCATATGAAGTTTGAGCAGTTTGTCTTCTTATTAACAATGATAATGAGCCTTATGTTGATTACCTACACACGAAATGGTAGTCAATTGCTGTGTATGTTGGTCGACTGCTGCGTGTGTGTCTCGATCGCTTTCTATATATATTGGTCATTGGCTATGTAGATCAGTTGACTGTCATTCAATTACCAGAAAATCCTTAACAGCAAATGAGAAGAAATGCAATTAAGCCATTAGGTCGTTCCGACACCCACACAGGGAGCCCCGCCTTCAGCGCCCCGCCAGCTTTCCAGCGTGCCTTACCTACAGCAGCACTTAATCCATTAATTCGTCCAGCAAAAGAGCCGGAAGTAGTGCGCCAATGAGGCATGGCACCCTTCAAACCGAGGAAGCCGGGCATCGATGTACATATTGGTTGTTGTGATGGCTTCAACCATCCGTAACCTCACCGTCCGTCACATGACCTCGGTTTTGCTCGCACCTTTTTTTCAGAGTGAGCTACGTAGCTATTCCCTACCTTCAATAAAGTGACCGATTTTTGTGCACATCTCGATACCTACACTGGTACCCTGTAGCATTGGAGGAGTCATCAACTTCTTTCGTTTCTATTTTGAACTTCTACTTCAGTTGACTACGGTGACGTCTGGAGCGGGTTACTTACTTATCGAAGCTTGACAGGTAGGAGGTGGTCAAGGAAGAAATCAGCTTATTCCGAGCGGAGGTGGTCTGAAGTGCTTTGAATTGGTATTTGCAATCTTTTAATCGAAATTTCGCTAGGCTGAATACCTCCAGTCTTCTAGCTGTTCAGAGGGACAGCCAATCCCGCAACAATCCAGCACTTCAGATGTCTCTGGCCCACAGGTTAAGCATACCGCCTCTCCTTCTCCTGCCACCTCAAGGGCATGGCTTCTCCAATCGTGCCAAATGCGACATACCCAGTTTCCTCCGAAGGTCTGACATCGCCGATGCAAACTCGCACTCCTCTGGTCCTTTTTACCTGACTGGTGCCATCCTCCAAGGAGCTCTGTTGGGCTACGTTCACGTGGGTGCTATCTCTCAAGAAGTACGTGGCTCGATCCAGTACATCAGGTCCTCGTCTGAGACAACTGAAGATGCTAGCTGCAATACCCGAAGCCAGCATAATTGTCGATGCGATGAATAGAATCGAAATCCAAAGTCCGCTGACACGCACAACTAACTCATCCGGTATTCTCATACCCGTGGTATTTTGAACTATCGTCTTTTCGATTGCCCGGTTGAGGGTATGTGCCTGGAAGTTGAAGTCGCCGGTGATGTTGCGTGACGCCACCGAGGCAAGCCAGAAGGTGTTGAGCAGCTGCGAGAAACGCTGTGAAAATACCGCATCTCCTACTTCGTAAATATCAGTTCCGTTGTAAGAGCCGATGCCCGGTGCTGAAAAAGGGGCGGCCGGGTGGGTGAAATAGGTTTCCAAAGGCGAAGGGTATGGTTTGTACCATGCGCCATTATCCGCCTCCCATGTTGTCAAGGTAACCCGCATGAACGTTGTCATGAATAAGTCGAAGACTCCCGCCGGTGCCATTTTTGGGGATCCTTCCGCAATGACACCATCCAATACTGTCGTCACTGTCATGTTGTCTGGCTTCTCAATCCGTCTAATACTACGGGCACCACAGAGATCTCCAGCACAAGCCACATCGACTTCGGCATACGTCGTTGTAAGTGTACATGTAGCATTGGTCGTTATGCTATCTTGGGGGTAGTAGGATGTGAATATCAACTTTCTAGGATCCTTGCTAAAGAGGCCGTGAAATCCGTCGGATTTGATGAGCAAAGTCCTGCCGGTAGTGTAGGCTGCTTCTCGCCCAAGGGTTTTGTTCTTGTATGCGAACCACCCAACGAGGGACATTGATGCTCCACGCCGGACTAAACAGTCTGCATGCATATAGGCCGTCTCGAAGGTGAAAGAGTAGTTATATCCTTGGGAGAAGCCCCCTCGAGTCGCGATAGGTATACCCATAATGGCTGACCAAGTCGTATTGGCACCGTCGGGGCTGACGTCGTACCAGCCGTCGGCATCGGCTGCCGCTGTTGGGGGATAATATTCGAGCATGGGGATCTTGACGTTGCCGAAGGCATCCCGAGGTCTTGCTTTAATGTCCTGGGGGAAAGACAAGGCCGAGACAAAGGCTCCTTGAATTGAGGGCATTGCGCTGAATCCGGCCGAACTCTGAGCTCCTGAGTGTGGAAACACGGACATGAACTCAAGGTTCTCAAACGGATACGGTTCTGATGTTTGAGACGGGATCACATCGATGATGCGAAGAGCTGCTTGGCCCCCGAGTGGAGACATAGCCCAGAGTGCTATCAGGAGTGGTGACAGGATGTTCACACGTCGTAGAGATAGAGGCGTCGTAATGGCACTGAAAACCATGCGGCAGCTGAGGAGATACTCTAGACTGAGAATCGAGACGCCACGTTCCATCTTCCAACCGGCCGCAGCCTTGAGCAAATTGGCGGCAACGGCTGCAAATACGATGGGGAAGACGGTCGGGCTGTACGTCGCGGCCATACGTAAGGTTGGAACCATTCCCGAGTCGATCGGCCAGTTGTTGTGTTTGAGAGCCATCATGCCGTAAATGATGAAGCATAGGGACAGAATGATGAGAAGAACATCAAGAAGGAATTGCTGGATTGCGCCAGCGGAGTCTCTCTTCCTAATGCTATGCGTCTCCGTGGGAGCGGATGCGGCCTTCTTGTCGCGGCTGCCTTCGCTAATAAGGCTCTCCGCCGGGTCGTTATTCGGGTCATCCGATGAGGGAGATGCGGCATTTGTGGCGCCACTGTCGAAATTGGCTCCTTCGGTGGAGTTGGAGTCGTGTAAGATATCCGGCATGATGCGTGGCTTCATTCGGATGATACATCTATTCGCGTTCCGAGTTCAGTGCGCCCAAACTTGACGGATGAGAAGCCGTTCGACTGGGGGTCGGTGAAAAGGGGAACAACGTTGGACAAGAGCTGATTTGGCAAGAAGGGACTGCTTGATGGGCGGGTCATTCCTCGGCTGTTCGACGCGACGCTGTGCCGCAATGTTGGAAGCATCGCTGGTCCGCAATCTAAGACAGTATGTAACGCACCCCAGTTGCCTGCATGCCCAAGAGGAAAGGCTGTATGGCTGCCTCGTCGCTTATGTTGGTCTCGCAGTCTTGGCAGCTGAGAACGGTCGTTGGCGAACATGACATACAGCTAGATCAAACGTGTTATATGTTATCTGCGGACATGTTTGTTGAGACACTCCGTAGGAGTGTGGGTGCATCTTATTAAACATTTGCATCTCGAGTATCGCGTCAAATTTGTGAATCTGCGGTTTCTATATGATAGTTGTGGTCAGACTTGGGCATCTTGTGATAGAGTCTTTAAGAATCACCTCTCCCTTTTCGATACCGAGGGACGAGCTTACCTTCCAGATGCAAGAGCCAGAGCAAGTAGTGGGTAAGACTATTCGTACTCGGCTTGCTTCGTATAAAGTGAACGACGCAATGGAGTTCCCACTGATGTTGATTCCGTAAATATCTAGACCCATTTTCAAATATTTCCACGGCTCTTCTACGTCGGCATTCAACAGTCCGAGTCAGCTCATCCTCCAAGTCGACTCATGTAGCACCGGACTGCTAAGTACGTGCGAATAGCTCCAGCGATGTTCGGGAAGCACTTGATGTTTCGCCAACTTTGTCTGAGTGCTTGCTATTGCTTCGAAAAAAGGAGCTTCCGAACTGAAAGGCAACTCGATTACCACTCTGGAGACCTTTGTCACATGATCGATGCACTTGACCTGACTGAAACTGAGACTAAAGAGCTGTTAACGTAGCAACTTCTCTTAGACGAAGCCACATCCTTTGTTCCCCACAAGATAGCATCGTTTACGGCAGATCTGATGCTCTGTGCACACAAGTCCGAAGTTCCAAACGGGAATGGACAAAGCTAAAGAAAAAGGGATCTAAGCCGTTGTGCAAAGAACGACGGAGAATGTTCAATGTTGAACTCTTTGAATGCCACTACATTGTCACTTGACAGAGGGCCAGTCCGAAAATGGTGGCGAATACATATACCCAGGGTCTTCTTCCCTGAATCACATCTCGCCAATCCACACCAACCCAAAACGTTTCCCTCGACACCTCGAGATCTTCTTTTCTTTCGCATATACGACTTTAGCCAATACCCTAGCCACTCTTTTCTCGGCACACGATCTTTTCTCTCACAATTCTTTCCCTCAAAGAACGCCCATGATGCTTTCCAACATGAACCAAATTTTCTTTCTCGCTTCGATGCTGGCATCGACGACCTTTGGACACGTTGTCCTCGAGAACCCCAAGCCCTTCAAGTTTGTTGCTGACGGTCCTACTAACCCAATTTCTAGCACAGGTGATGACTTCCCATGCAAGATCCCCTCCGGAGCCAGTTACATCATCGACGGAGCACCTACAGTCATCGCCATTGGCGAGACCTTCGAGGCCACCTTCAAGGGCCAGGCTGTCCACGGAGGCGGCAGCTGCCAGTTCGCCCTCAGCGCCGACGCCAACCCGACAAAGGATTCCAAGTGGATGGTCATCCACTCCATCGAGGGCGGTTGCCCGGCCCGCAACCAAAAGGGTAACCTCGAAGGTCCCAATGAAGATAAGTACCCCTTCAAGATCCCCTCCAGTATCGCACCCGGTGACTACGTCTTCGCCTGGATCTGGCTCGCCAGAGTTGGCGGCCAGCCAGAGTACTACATGAACTGTGCCCCCATCACCGTCACTGGTGGCGCTGGCGGTGCTACCAAGAAGAAGCGTGGACCCTTTGCTGATCGTCGCATGTCCCTGGCGAAGCGTGAAGAGTTTCCCGAGCTCTTCATGGCCAACATTGGAGAAGTTGCTGGCGGCTGCACCACTGGAGAGGCTCTCAACGCCCAGGTCCCCATTGCTTTTCCCAACCGCGGCCTCTACTTCGATCGACCCGAGGGCGACAATCTCTACAAGCAGCCCTGTGACGGTAACCCCAATGCCGGAAGCCCTGTTGAGGCTCCGGCTGGCGGCGATGTGCCTGCAGGTACCATTGCTACGTCTGTTCCGACATCTAGCATTGGCGACGGCTCGTCTCTTTCACCACCGGTCGCAACTGGCTCCTCCGCCATTGCCTCTTCCATCATTTCGACACAGGAGCCGGCTCCGACCACAGTACCTGCTGAACTTACCGCTCCCGTCAAGCCTACTGCCCCCATCACACCAACTGCTCCGGCCGAATCTTCTATCCCACCAGCTCCTACAGCTTCTATGATTTCTCCTATCGAGACTCCAGTCCCTACTGGCATCGTTCCGACTCCTTTTATCTCTTTCATCACAGTCACGGTTACCGCCACCGACTGTGGAGCACCGGCGACTCCAGATGTGCCCGTATTTGAGCCCACCGCCGTCCCTACAACCTCGCCTGATTCTCCCACACCTGACCCCGACTCCGACGAGGACTCTGATTCCGACCCCGACTCTTGCACTGAAGGCTACTTGACCTGCTTGGAGGATGAAACACACTTCGCTACTTGCACTGGCGGCGAGTCGACTGCGCCGCAGCCGATTGCCCCTGGCTTCAAGTGTGCCGCTGGAGAGGGTGAAGGTCTAGACATCTCGCCCATTGGAGGAGAGTATTAGAAGGTAGTCCTAAGTAGTGCACGGAATGGATCCTGGCGTCAAGTGCTATGCTTTTAGCTCAAACAATCAAAGGCGAAGTTGATTTCACATGTGCTTTGCTAGCACTTGTGAACTCCCCTCTCCTAACATGTCAACCAGCTGTGGAACATAGGCAAGGTGCATACAATTCGTTTTCATGTAGGTCACGCTTAACTACTAGAATTAGTTCATCATTGAAATATCTTGCCCTCACTCAGGTCAATGTGGATGGATGCCTTCATGTCATTACAGCCCGGACTGTCGCCAATAGTCATAATCGGCCCCACTTTCCACAAACCCGGCGGCCGCTCGGGCAAGGGGGGCCAGTCCGAGGTTCTGGTTCAGAAACGAGGCTTGGTCGATGGCAATTCGACTGTCGACTGAAGTCACAATCAAAAGCGAAAGAGAGGCGCTTTAAGCGCGTGTCGTTCACTGTACCAGTCGTCTGTTTGGCGTCTTCATCACAGTCCTCCAACGGGTAGGGTAGTCCCGAAAGGGCTCAGCTGGGAGAGGACCAAGAGATGCTCACCAGAATGGATCTGTATGGTTCAATCTCTGGCGTCTTCAGCGTCGACGCAAAAATTTGACGCGGACAACACGCATGCGACCCAGTTCCATATGCTTACTTGACTCCTTGATTCGTGGTGACAGGGTTAAGCGCGCGTCTTCGATCCTTCTAGCCAACATTTCGGCCCTAGCTCGTCTGACGCCCACGTCTAAGTCGCACTGAACTTCGTTTACCATACTGTCGCACCTTCGCAGGAATTTTAGGGGCTAGACGGCTTACAGAGTAAATGCATACCGTCCTTGACATCGAGCCTCCTGTTTTCGCTCACATGGTTCGCCCGGCAATCAATGTTAGGTACGCTCTTCTGAGCTGCCTAATAATGCGGAGCGGTCCTCATCCACGACGTCAGGAGACAACAGCACTAAACAAGTCGTGCTGGGGTCCGCAAAGAGCTCGGGGAATAAAAGCTCGCCTGTTCAGTTGCCGCCTCCCGTCGCCAAGAGAGAGTTCCCGTTGATCAGACCGCATTACCCTGCGATTAAATCTCGGCAGTGGCAGGCAACAATCAGAAAACCCCATGCGAACATCCCAAAGTCCCTTGTTCTGACTGCCTTGAGAACATAGCTAAAGGGTTCCCTGGATAGCCCCCACAATGGTGGAGCAAAGCTGACATGTTTCACGTCTTTGAAATTAGCTTATGAGGTATCTTGGTGCTTACGGGTTGCATTGATGGCCTCTCCCGAAAGGCAGTGCCCTCCCTTCCAACGGCCTCAATAAAGTGGCCGTGGCTTGATTTTAGACTTTGACATGGGTTTTCTAGGCGGCTAGAATCTAAGTTGGGGATCCTTCGCTAGGCACAGAAGCAAAGATCCTACCAAAGTTCCTATTCTTTACCAAAGAAGCTCGATCCTTCAACGTGCGATCGACATCGGCCCCCAGAATTCATCTCGACAGAAATGAATTTGCTGGGCATCGCGATTATGTCTAACAGCCTTACCGGGTTCAGGACTCCAGCAACCATCGTGATCTCACCACCAAAGTCCCTTTCGCGTCAACCTTCTTCAACTTAAATAAGATGTTGCTACTCCTCATCCTCAACTACCACAAACCAAGACAGTCTCAAGCGCAAACCATCACACTCTTTCTCAGGACGACAGTCCTTGCTTTCTCTCTTTCATTAGCCTGATATGCCACGATTCAGAAACCAATCATGAAGACTTCTGCCACTCTTTTGGCCTTTGTGGCCGCTTCCAATGCCTCGCCTCTTGGTCTCTCCGTCAAGCGGGATGCCTTTGATAGCAAGGATGCCATGTGCAAAGGATGGGATCTCACAACTCCCGAGGGCGCTGACAAGCTCTGGGAAGATACCTACGCCGGAGCATCTCTTGACCTCTTCATCAAGTCTCAGTGGGGTAAGTGTTCAACGGTCTTTCTTGTCATGAACTTCAATTCTAATGACAGTCTTGCGGGCAGAACACGAGAACTCTTGGGTGAAGAACCTCGAAGACTTGGTCTCAGGTGGCACATCGGGCAAGTCCGGTGCTGCCGGCTGCTCGGCTCTTGGAAACGAGTGCAAGCCGTTGAACGACATGACCTGCGATGCGCAATACGACGCATACGGCAAGACCCCTATTGGCAAGAACTCCTACTGGATCTTCCAGGCGGTCAAGGGCATGCATGCCAAGTTCAACGAGCTGAATCGCCAGCTCACTAAGGAGACTCTCATCAGCGGACTGCAGATTGGTCAGATGGTGACCGACTTCCAAGGAAACCAGGACGACCCTGGCGACGTCCTTGGCTGGCTTTCAGCCGCCGCTTCCATGGGTGGTGCTATCGGTGGTCTGGTTCCTGGAGCTGTAAGTTTGCCAATCTCTGAGGAGCCTGTGACGTTTCCAGGACTCTTGCTAACGCATTGCTGCGACAGGGAACTGCCATCGCTGGTGGCTTCGGCATGCTCAGCGGCATCTTCTCCGGACTGGCTGCCTCTAACAGCGCCGACGAGATCGATCAAGGCTCAATTTCGGCCGCCCTGGCTGACGCTTTCAAGCAAGCCACCGGTGCCCTTGAGAACACACTTCGCATCGCCACCGGCGGCGGCACCAGCCAGGCGGAGTACGACTCGCTCCCGGCCCCCAAGTGGGACACCTTCCAGAGCAAGATCACAAAGTTCTACAATGGCGGCTGGTTCCTCGTCGACGACGACGAGCAGGCCGTCACTGTCGCCCTCCAGTCCATCAGCAACAACATCAAGCCCAAGGTCGCCAACGACGTCATGAGCGCCGCCAAACTCTACCTTGTGGCTGATAGGCGCGATGAGGTCAAGTCTCGCGAGACCTGCGGATATGCCACAGGACGGCAGTGGATGGCGTTGCGGGATGGCGAGGAGTACTGCTTCTACATCATGCGCAACAACCCCAACCCGGGCCCTGACAACGACTGGGTCGAGGTTGAGACCGATATCTATGACAAGATGGCCTCTTACGGACTCGGCAACCGTGATCCGTACTACCGCGCCATCATTGACTGCGCGCTCAACGGTGGAGATGACAAGGATAAGGTTGACTTGAGCAACTTGGCTTGGGGCAAGGTCCCTACGTGCTACTTCAACCTGCCTGCAATGTTCATCGACAAGGACACCAAGACTGGCTGCGGAAGCCCTTTTGACAGTGCGGACTGCAACTACATCGCTGCCACCCCGATCTCTTAGATGAACTTGGCGATAGTCCCTGTCTTTCTCCTTCCCAGATACCAAATTTTGCCTCATCGTGTACTACCTTAGCCTTCCAACACTGTATATATATGTTACTTATTGCCTTAATTCAACAACTGCCTATTAAAAAAGTCCAAGCATCAAGTGAACTCTCTAAGTATCCTAGAAGCCTCTCTCATTTGTCTCGCGCTTTCGACAACTCTGTATCGGACTCCTGCCGAATTAACTCATCTGCAGAGTCCAAAGCATTGAATTGCTCCAATGAGGAGAGCCTGACTTGGTACGCACTCTGTCCAGATGCGTGTTGGTATTAGTCTGCACCTAGAAACCTTTAGCTGACTCCGTAGACGACATAAAGGCAGAGCTTTTGCAATACGTACCGGAGAAGATATGGGTCGTTGACCAGTGTATCTAGTATTTTGATGGGTCATTTGGACCCGGGCTGAGTGAATTTGTCTCGGACAGAAATATGGGCTCACGTGGAGGGATAGTATGTAATGTGCCGGTACAGTGATCCTAAGTAAACCCTATGAGGGACAAGTTCCTTTCAAGAGATGTTTTACGTAGCTCAGAGAGTCAAAAGAAACCGTGTAAAATCAAGGGCATCATGCGTTTCGGGGCATACAGGACTCTTCGACAGGCAATGCAAAGTCCATAGGTGTGAAACCTCTATCACAGATTTCGCATGCCATCATTAGTTGCAGCTCAGGTCTAATCCTCAATTCTTTTCGAGGATATATCTCCCGAAGTCAAATTCTTGGCTGGAATTTCCATGAATCAGTAGAGCTTAGTAATGTGCCCAGACTTCGTCATTCTCCGCACGAAGAGTCTCAACATGAAGTGCTGAAGAAGCTTTGGCCTCAATTCAGAACAAGGCCAAGCCCAGACGGACCATCCCGCCTGACCTCCGGAGCCCGGGTCCTTCCCCGCGAAACAGCTCTGATCAACGTGGAGGAGAGACCAAATTGACTCTGTCAACCTTGCTTTTGGTTGCTTTTGGTTGTTTCCATGTACGAGATGCCAAGCATCGCTAACCTATCAGCTCAGTCTGTTCGTTGCTGAGCGTGTATCATTACGTAAAACTGGCACTTCCGTGCGTTTCCCTTCCCCTCAGCTGTCTCTCCGTTGTCTGCGCTTCAACAGAGTTTAACGGAACCACAGAACTCTACCATGTAACGCGACATGACATCCCAAGATGCCCCGTGACCTCCGTGCTGAGGGTGGCCCGGTGGGCAGTGCTGCACTGGGCTTGGACGACATCACCACGCGTCTCGCCTAGATACTAATGTTGTTCACCAGCATTTCCTGCTCTTCTCAGCGGGATTCATTTCTCTTCCTCACAATCAAACAACACTGTGAAACATGGAGTTCAAGAACTTGGCTCTTCGGCCAGCTGCTGCGGCAGACGCATACGACAGTGATATGGACAGCGAATGGGTTCAAACACCGCCAGAAGACGCATTCACAGACGAAGACGAGATTCAAATAGACTCGACAGGGGATCTTCTGTTGCACGTTGGATCCGACGCGTCTACTGGCAGCACCAAATCGTTTCGCGTCTGTTCAAACACATTACGACGAGCATCGCCATTCTGGAGGCGCACACTCATTGAGACATCGTCAGAAACTCATCCGGCCGAGGAGTGGTGCGGATGGACTCCATCGCTATATGCTTGCCAGCATGACAAGTCAGACGGATTGATGATCCTGCTCAACATGATCCATGCAAGATTCTCACTCGTACCGAAGGATCCCAGCCTCACGGAGATTTACCACACTCTTTGTCTGGCAAGCTTGTATGAGATGGAGCATGTCTTTCAACCATGGATTGCGCAGTGGTACGGTATGATGAAGACCTCTGAGAGCACCAGAGACGACCGGGATCTGGCGATGCTGTCGTGCATTGCTTGGGCATTGGGTGATGAGAGACTGTTTGCGAGGACCATCATCAGAATTAGCCTTACCTGCATCATAGATGATCAAGGACACATAGTCACTCCGGACGGAATACGCCTAGAAGACTATTTTTATGACTCTCTCGGCTCGCCGTCCATACCTGGTAAGCTCAGAATTCATCTTTCGAGTTCGCCCAACCCTTCGCTAAGAGTATTTCAGAAACCATTCGTACCTTACGCAGTCAACTCGCTGCAGAGCTACCTTCACATCTTAATGGTGTTATCGACAGATTGATAGACGGAAAATGGCTTTGCGCTGGAATTTCCGGGATTCCCGTGACCCGGAACAAAAAGTGCGACTACGTTGTGCTCGGAAGCGTGCTTGCTGGTCTCGTCTATGTTCGAGGGACGAGAGCGACGGAAGTAACAATCAGAGCCGACGAGAGCATCGTGGACTTACTCAAGTCTCTCAAGAGGGTGTTGTCATACGTGACTTGTTATGAGAAGCACCCAGAATGCAATCCCGCAGAGCAAATTTCGGAAGCTATGAAGAAGACGATCGACGGAATGAACATACCTTTAAGTTCAGATTGCGTCCAACGAATGAGAGAGCAGCGCCAAAAGACCGGGTGGCAAGATTGAATACCTAAGCTGATAATAGCATTGGAGATTTTGATTGGCATTTGTAGAACCGGCTATCTTCACTTGGCCGCGGGAATGAGAGCAGCATCAAAAGTTGAGCTTTTATTGTAGAATTAGCTCCTTAGCAATACTGTCTTAGTGTACCAAGCATCTGGAAGGATTTGAGTGACATTCACGAAATTCTATTGAGCAGTCTGCAACTTTCAGACCATTCTTGTATGTGTGCACTATCAAGGGACAGTTTATTGCGAGTCATTGTATGAGCAATTCAGAACCGAGAGTCCGCGCCGGCATCAGGTATCACTTCGGCTGGAATTACTTTCATCATGTCGTTACGAACAGTCGTTCACGGGCTCCCAGGACGGTGTCTACTACTCTCCGTAAAACCACGATTCGGGGGTTGGGTGTCCCCGGGAACCAGCCTAGTGCGCCTACGTAGGCTGCCTAGAACCCCGTGGCGCTGGCGTACCGCCTCCGTATCTTGTGGTACAAGACTCGCCATTCTCATTCCCAGATCAGGTACAAAAGGACCAAAAAACGAATCTGTCATTACCGATTGAACCAGTGTTCAATATCAGAAAACTGCACTCAAAACACGCAACGCTCCAATCTGGCAACATGGCGAGCAAAGTCTTCAAGGCTTCGATGTCAACCAAGACAGCCCCAATCGCCATCATTGGTGCTGGACCATGCGGCCTGACACTAGCCCGACTACTTGAGCGTCAAAAGGTCGACTACATAGTGTACGAACGAGATGAGAGCGCTACGTCAGCCAACGCCGGTGGCTCGTTGGATATTCACGAGGCGACTGGTCAAGCGGCGCTTCGGAAGGCGGGCCTATGGGATGCGTTTCGAAAAGAAGCGAGATGGGAAGACGACAGATTCACGGTATACGACAAATTTGGAAAGCAACATCTCGACATCAAAAGCAATGGCGGAGTTGATGAAGCAGGACGGCCCGAGATAGATCGCAAAGCGTTGCGACAAATCCTTCTGGACTCCGTACCGCAAGAGAAGATCCGATGGGGAAGCACCTTAAAAGCTGTCAAAATGCATGAGGCTGGCTCGCCGGCCCTCGAGTTCACCTCAGGTGCGACTGCTGAAGGGTTCAAGCTTGTGGTTGGCACTGACGGCGCTTGGAGTAAGGTTCGCTCGATGGTATTGCACAATCATCTCACTCTCAATTGATGCTCGATGACTGACGATGATTAAGATTACACAAGCGAAGCCTGAGTACTCCGGCAGAACATATGTGGAAGCCCAAATCACGGAAGAAAACCCGCTGTTCAAGTCAGTCTTGGACAGGTTTGGGCACGGAACTGCATCTTTATTGGCGGGAGCAAGCCAAATGATCGTGCAGCGGCAGGGAAACGGATGGTACAGGGTGTACTTCGGGATACAAGCTCCCGAGCACTACGTTGGCAGAGAGCTCGACTCAGCAAGTGTTGATGCTTTGCGAAAGTCACTGCTATCCGACTTCTACAGCGACTGGGCCGAGGAACCCAAGGATTACATCCGGCACGCCGATCACTTCCGCAGTTGGCCGTTATATCACCTCCCTGTTGAAAGTCAGAACTGGACGACGGTGCCAGGTCTGGCCCTGGCTGGAGATGCTGCTCACTTGGCGCTTCCCAACGGCGAAGGGGTCAACTGCGCTATGTGGGATGCGATGGAGCTGGCAAAGAGCATTGAGACCCATGGCCTCGACAAGCTGGATACTGCGGTTCGTGAATATGAGAAGGACCTCTTAGTTCGAGGTAAAGCTCATATCGAAGACGGCATACAGCTCGGGGATCTCATGTCGCATGAGACTGGACCAGCCGCCTTGGTGAAGGCTTTCCAGGAGAATGAATTCTGAGTCGCACAGCGACACAACAGGTTAAGAATGTGAGCAGTAAGGCACACCTTCGCACGAACGCATCAAGTCCGACTTGCCGATATCTCGATCGTTCATGATGCAGACTCTTTTTGTTTTTATTCTGGCTATAAAATCAAATGCCAACGTTTACTGTCCATGGCCTTCCAACACTAAACTTGTAGTTGCCTTGAGAACATAAAAACGTCAATAATACAATTCTTACTCGTATCATGGAAATAAGACGCCTGTTGTCTGACCCCTCTCTTACAGCAGTGTCTCACGCTTGAGTACGCCACCAATTCTGTCCGGGCTTACTCTCCCCGAAATTGTTAGTCGGGCCATTCTAAAGTCCGGATTACGCCGTGGTGCGGAGCGCCAAGGTCCAAAAAGCCACGCTTGAGATCCCGTCGTCAGCTTGACCCGTGCCTGGGTGAGAGCCCACCTTGCCCACCTCCGCCCGACATCATCGGTCCCCGGTCGTCGCAACTGTCCGAAACCTACTCAGCTCCCCTCTTCACGGCATCGGCCTTGGCACGACACCGTCCGACATTGCAACCATGTCGGCTCCCGGGATAGCAAGCAGCAAATCGGACACCGCTCCTCGAGCAAAACCCCAGCGCGTCCTCGCCTGTGTCCACTGCCAGCAGCGCAAGATCAAGTGCGACCGCAAGTTCCCCTGTTCGCATTGCACAAAACATCAGCTGCAGTGTGTGCCTGCGACACAAAACCGGCCACGGAGACGGCGATTCCCGGAAAGGGAGCTTCTCGACCGCTTGAGAAAATATGAGAGCCTACTACGACAGAATAAGGTTGATTTTGAGCCACTACACGGGGACCTTGGGGCCAGGTATGGGAAGTCTGTCGATGACAGTGGCGGTTCGGACGATGAGCACCGATCCGAAGGCGTGGGAATGCCTTCACCATCAGTCACTGTGAAATCTGAAACCTCATATGAGCCTAAGTGAGTCATCACCCTGCGACGCCGATCAAGCATTTTCTGCATGTGCTTTTACTATCTATTCGGCTCAGTCGAACGTAAGATACCAGTGTCACTGACTGTGTGCAGGAACTTTTGGCATTTGGTGAGCCCAGAGGTACAGTATCTGTACTCAACTCACCCTCAATCCCCGTGACTGACATCGTATAGCTCGACGACTCGCATGCTGGCTTGCGAGAGACTATCAGGCAAACATGGGACCAAGCCTGTGATAGCGATGATCATATTCTCTTCGGATCCCCAGACCGATCATCTGTCGACCTCTCAACCCTCCATCCCGAGCCCGTCCACATCTTTCGACTGTGGCAGATTTACCTCGACAATGTGAATGCACTACTTCGGGTGACGCACGCGCCCAGCTTCCAATCACGCATCATTGAAGCCGTGAGCAGCGTCGAAAACATGAGTCCCGCATTGGAGGCTCTCATGTTCAGCATATACTCCATGGCCATCTTGAGTCTCTCCGAGGATGCATGTTACGAAACTTTCAAACAGCCAAGAGCCCTTCTCTTGACCAAGTACCAGTTTGGGTGTCAGCAAGCTCTTTCAAACAGTCAGTTCTTGAGAACAAATGACGTTGACTGCCTAACTGCGTTATTTCTTTACCTAGTATGTACCTGGACTGGCTAAGGGCTTACAGTACGAGATCGAGAGGATCGCATTGGCTAATTTCTCGCAGCATGCGAGCCGCCCTAGCGCTCACATCCGATCAATTTCATCCCTCCTTGGCGTCGCGATTCGCATCGGTCAACGCATTGGTCTCCAGCACGAATCTGCCAACACCAGGTGTACTATCCTAGAGGCCGAGATGCGTCGGAGGCTCTGGTGGTCCTTGGTGCTGTTTGACGCCCGCATGAGCGGTCTGACCGAGCACAAGGCTACCAACTTGACTCCGACATGGGACTGCGCCGTGCCGCTGAACGTCAGCGACTCTGACCTCCGAGCAGAAATGAAGGAACCTCCGAGAGCGGAGATGAAAGTCAGCGAGGCACTATTCTCGGCGGTGACATCTGAGCTAGCCGATTTTACTCGGCACACCGCGTTCTACCTCGACATGACGAATCCGATTTTGAAGCCCATCGCCAAGGAGCTTCCTGGCGGTGGCAAGGTGGATTGGTTGGAGAAGTCGGTGGAGGATAAGTACTTCCGGTACTGTGACCTCGAGAACCCGACTCATTTCATGGCCATGTGGATGTCACGCGCATCCCTCTCAAAATTTCGCCTTATGGAGACATCTCACAGCTTTTACGAGGGCCCGGTTGAGGAGAAGCACAGAGTCACGTTATCAAGTGCTTTAAGGTGGCTTCAGTGCGATGCCAAGCTGGCAGCCTCACCCCTGACCCAGAGGTTCAGATGGTTTCTCCAGATATACTACCCTTTCCCTGCCTACATCCGCATCACGCAGTTTCTCAAACTGAACCCTCTGGATCCGAAAGGCGAGTATATATGGAACGCCATGAGTGACCACTTCGAGGCTCGGTTCGAACAACTTGAGCCGGGGTATAACCCTGTCTTTGTCCCATTCACCGAGGTCATCCTACGCACCTGGGAGGTGGTGGCAGCGGCGCTCAGGAACTTAGGGCAGCCAGTGGTCCCGCCGAGAATTGTGGCCAAAGTCCAGGAAAAGCTGTCGGAAGTGACACCGGCTCTGAGTCCACAGTCTTCCGATACCGGGCCCAAGGCTGAAGCAATGAACATGAATCCCTATGACTTTAGTGCACCTTTTCCGATGGACATAGTTAGCCAGAGTCTCACTTACGATCAGGGTACCTTTTTGCCAACAGACAATGGCCTGTACTCAAACATCATCGTGCCGGACATGCGAGGTATCAACATCGATCAGTTCAACTGGGACTCATTGGACCTGGGGCAAAATGGGCAAGCGACATGACGATGAAGGATTGAATCCAGATGTACAAAGACAAACCCGCGGATGTCGAGTTCGACGGAGAATACGGTTACTGTACCATCATGATTGACAGCGTGTACAGACAGCTTCACTGCTCAATATTCGATAGATAAACGCGCAAGCAAGCGTGCATAATTCAACTCAACTTCAGCATTCATTTCAAGTGTGCACTGGATCGTGACACATCACTCATTCGTAGGCAATTGAGGCAACATCAATAGCTCCGTCATGAACCCTGTTGGGTATTCTTGAAGATAATTAAATGTATGTACAAAGTGCGACAATATATACGTGTCGAATATGCGAACCTGAACACAGTTCAGGCTGGGTATGATGTCCGCACAGCGTTGTTCAGCATGGCTGCAACAAGCATTTACTGGACGGTGAGGGTGTAGGCGGAGGTCTTGAAGACGGCGTTGGTGCCGGAGAAGGGCTCGGTACCGGCCTGGAGGCTGGTGATCACGTTGGTCTTGGCAACGCCCTGCTTGGAGGTGAGGTAGGTGAAGAAGAGGTTCAGGTCGCCGTTGAAGCTCTTGATCTGGCTGGGGGCGACGAAGGAGTAGACAGTGGTGTCACCGTTGGGGCCTGAGAAGTCACGTTAGACGGTTGACGTTGAGTTTGTGGTGTAACATTTTACTCACCAGAGTAGAGGGACCACTTGGTGCCGGCAATGGTGGGGGTGTCGATGGTCTTGCCAGTGCTGGAGATGGGGCCAGCACCGCCGAGGGCGCCGAGCCAGATCATGATCTCGTACTTGTTGTTGGCACCAACGGAGGGGGCGAGCCAGAGGTCGTAGGCGACATCGGCAACGATGTTGGAGCCAGTGTAGCTGTTGGAAAAGAGTTAGCACATGTCTAGACTGGCTCGTCTTTCAACCGGTAGAGACTAACCTCCAGGTCCACTTTGAAGGGATGGACTTGACAGCGGAGAGCTGCTTGTTGACCTTCTCGAGGGCAACGTTGGAGTAGGACTTGACCTGTCCCTGACCACCAGCCCAGGTCCAGGAGGTCGACCAAGCGACGGAGCCGGACTTGAGGGACTCGAAGGTGGTGCACTGGCTGCCGGAGGTAGCCTGGGCCGCACCCCAGTTGTTGTGGTAGATGGTGAAGCCGCCGGTGGCGACGGAGCCGAAGGCGTCGCACATCTTGGTGGCACGCTTGTCGATGCTGACGGGCGTGGGGGAGGCCACGGCCGTGACGGCCAGCATGGCCGAGACGAGGTAGGAGGTGAACTGCATGGTGGAAATTCGGACTAGCTTCAGCTTTGAAAGAATGACTGGAATGAACGAATGGTTACTGCAAAGGTAATAGACAAGAAGAGAATGGAAGTTGTTGGGATGAACAGTAGGGCTGCCAAGAACAGGTTCCCAGGCGGGCGGGTGGCCCTTTGATATACCTACTACATGATACTACGTCAACCGCCGAAGAGACTTTTCTTTCTTTCCAGAAAACAAACAAGTCCCTCCAATTACGGCGTAGAATGCCGAATGGAACGTTAGTGTGCGGCCCAGAACACAGCACATCGGGTGAGGTTCTTCGCCCGCGGCCGTGGCTACACGACCGGGATGCCGGAGCTAAGCATCGGACGGAAAGCTTGTTGCGGCCAAGTGGGTGTCCACCGGAGGGGGATGGTTACGGTGGACAATCAGGGGCGGTTTCAACTTGATCACTTTGTCTACCGAAGCAACCAAGCGCGTAGACGCTGCGGCCACGAGGTGCTCCAAAAAGTGACTCCACCAATGGGCCATGTGGGCAGGTTTAATCTGCTCGTCACCTTTTGCCTTCAGGTAGATAGATTGTATGGTTCAGGGAGGTGTGGACTGGAGAGGCTAAAAGGAGAACTTGTGAAAGCCCCCTTATCCCTGGCTCAATATCCGTATCCCCAAAGCAGAAGGCCAGCGAGCGTTGGAAATGAAATTTTGACTCGTGTTCGCCGGTTTAGGTTCACCATCGATCATGGCCCCAATGAGCATATTGGAAAGCCGAAATCGATTGATTCCCACTCCCATGGGCATTTGGAAATATTGACAACGCAGTGGCCTCCGTGGTTCCCTCGGGCCATTCCGAGTCTCGGCCTGATCAATACTTGATTGCTGCCGTCATTTACGGTTCTTTCCACCACATGGGTGCTGTTCCGCAATCGTATCCGTGCTTCCTAAGCATAAAATACAGCCGTTATAGCCGTCTTCCATGACCGGCAACTCCACCATAGTATATATGTGAAGCCGCCCCCGTGTGCTGGATAGACATTGCCACCTGCAGTGTCACTTTATGTAAAATGCGGCGCATGCATTGCTTTTGTCGCGCGGCACTTGAGACCCTATTTTAGTGATGAAAGAGAAGATTGCGTCAGAGTGACACATTTGACAGATTGTTTCTAACGGAATGCACAAACGCCTCGAAAGGCTCACTTTTTCCTGTCCTCTCCCCGAGTCCGGCGGACATGGACTCGCGAACATTTAGCTCAGTAGAGAGGTATCGTACCACAATCGTTTTCTCACAATTCTTTATCAATCACAACTAACTTTTCATTTGTAAATGAACATGCACGGTCATGTGTCATGAATACCTAAATTCCCCCAAAAAGCGCAGCGCCAAGATGCATTCGACCCAAGATCAGGCCGAGCCCGACTCAACGGTGCTCTCCCCGGATTCCCAGAATTCAGATCGCTCGCCTAGGGTCGCACGCAGCGGGCAGCAGCCCCCCGGTGCAGGGCAGCCATAAACGGCAAAGGGGCCCAGCTGCCGACATGAGCGCATCCACAGAGCAAGACAAGGGCAACACTGGCCACCTTCGAGACACCCATCACCGCTATCGGGCCATGCTGGGCAGTCGTGTTTTCGTATCCGCGAATGCCGCTTGTCGATGTGACACACCAAATCCGCAGATGTTCCCGCCTCATAGCAAGGAAGACTTGACTGGTGGGAATTCCGTGAGCCGCCTCGGCACCAAAAGAACTAAGGTCTTGAACTGGAGAAATAAAGGGGTTTAGCGAAGGGCTGGTGGGTGGGTGGCGCTAAAGTGCCGTCCCGTCCGCTCGAGATTCCTTTCAATGTTCCCCTGAGATGCGAATAATAGAAACGGCAAGTATTAAGCGGTTCAACTCAATGTTAACTTCCCTCTCGGCATACAACGCACTAGCATCTTTGCACATCTCTCAGATCGACCCTGCGTCTGAGGAATGACGCGGTGGCCGCGGACATAACACGAATTTCGGAAAAATTGAAGACTTCGTTTGTTGTTCTAACCACTAAGCTAGTATGTAACAGAAAACTGCCGACAACCCCATACTCATTTCGCTTAATCCTGCACGCTGCCAGAATCACGATGCTATCCACTTGGTGAAAAGCAAACGCCCCGGGACTCAACAACACCGGCTGTGTGTTCTAGTGGTCATGATTTCTCGTTCACAACATTGTGAGCCTGATCCGAGAAGGTCGCAGGTTCGAACCCTGCCGCGGTCATAGCAATTCTTTTTGAGTATCCAGTACTTGTTGCTCCTCTCTGTAGAAAGAAGAAGTTCATGGCCTTGGAAGGAAAGAGGGCTTCGCGTCTTTTGATTTTCGTATTCAATCCCCACATGTTAGGTTAGCGCTGTCGATATGACAATGAAATGATTGAACTACCTTAATTCGAGTTCAGCAAGTATTCAACTTGTTTGCATTTACAAGACTGTTGAAGTCTTCAATCAAAAGGTATCACGCTGTATCGAAATTAGACTTTTTGGGTTAATAAAACGCAGAGGTTAGTTACACCGAGTCCAATGTCCCATTGTGGGAGGCTTTCTGAAGCAATGCGTGATCCTTCAACTCAAAGGACTTACTCCGCTGAACCGAGGGCTCTGTAGTCCAGTCATCTCGCACATGATGTGAATCGGAATGCTTCTTCCGAATAAATAAGAGGATCCTGACCTATTCGATTAGACACACCTACCTAGTCAGGATTGGCGGCGCTGAAATGCTTGGCAGGCCAGAGCAACAGGTTGTTCACATCAACTTGAGCTGAAGCAAACTCGAGGTAGATCATAGTCTTTTGAAGATAATTGTGAGGTGTGGCACTGCGAGATTATAATGCAGCCCTCGTTTACTTTGCGAACATAAGTTGTGAATGACTCTGGTCTGGGATTCTAACGTTTATTCCCATGTATAGCTGCTCTGTCGATTGCACGTACTCTGCTCGTGTACAGAATCGACGCCCACGCCGTTGGGTCTGATTGATGGAAGCTTTGCCAGCGGGGATGAAGCCAACAAATGCTCCTGCAGCTTTGACCGAGCTGGCTTACTGGCTTAATATCGAGATCGCAACCTGGACCGCGGTATACAGACCGAGCCAACCAGAACACTGGTGACGCCACGTCATATGTGATTCACAAGAGGGATTCAGGGCTCTTTTCAATGTCATTCATGTGCTAAATTAATGCAAACCGCGTTAGTCTAGAGCATCCTCGCAGTCGTCACAAGATGGCATCGACGCCGAACGGAGGTAACAAGGCATCAGAGAGACTCTGGGTGGCCCCGATTGTAGCTGCCTCTTCTTCTGCGAAGTGTGCCTGGAGGCTTTGACTCCTTTTATTTGTATGATACGACTGCGTAGAACGAGACTAAACTTGTTGATGTAGATATAGTGGATATCATAATGAAGAAATGAATCGGCGATGGCGGAGGCATAGAACTCGACGATGCGTGTCTGACGATGCAGATGGAGAAGCGAGGAGTCGTAGCTCTTCGCGACTGCCCTGTTTCTAGATTCTATGTTTGCAACGCATGCCAAACTCACATGATACGCGGACTACATCAGTTGGTGAAGCGGTGGCAATACCGAACCCGTAGTCAAGATATCTCCTTAGCAAACAAGGCAGGGCGTATTACACAACTGCAGTCTGGCATCATAATTTGTTAGCCAACGTCATAAACTCTGCATGATTACCACATGTACTGACACCACAAAACTGCCTCTGATTCCTTGGGTAAAGCCTGCTTTGTCCTGAGGACCAGTTACACCAATGGTCCTTCACTGCATACGATGGTCCTGGAAAGAGCGTAAACGTCTAGACAAGGGATGTTTTTTGCTCCCAACGATGTGTGTCTTTTAGTCTGCACGCTTCGAACTTGCGTCTTCCTCCTTGTATACATCATATTTGTAAGACGAGCCAGGGTGATCAGCCCTCAGTCCCTTTTGCCCCTGCCCGTATACCTTCTCTCTGGCCGTAAAAGCAACGTTGTCGGCAGATGCCTCTGGATAAATCCCACGTCGTCGAAGCTCTGGGATAAGAAGGTCGACGACATCCTCAAACGTGCCTGGAGTCGTGACATATCCCAAGTTGAAACCATCCAAGTCACCTTCACGGATCCAATACTCCAAGTCATCTGCCACCTTTTGTGGGCTTCCAACCGATACCGGTCCGAGACCACCAATCGCTGCCCTCTCGGCAATGACACGAGGTGTCCACTTGGGTACATGCTCGCTGGTCGTCGTGAAGGCATCGAGAATACTGCGCACCTTGTGCGCCTCTAGAGAGTCCGCGGCAGTAACCTCCTGGTCGACGGGGATCTTTGAAAGATCGATGCCGGTCCAGCCGCTGACGAGGACCAATCCTCCAATGACGGAAGCATACTTCTTCAGCTCCTCATGCTTGGCCTGAGCCTCTTCGTCGGTCCGTCCCGCAATAGGAGTGAACGTCGCGAAGAACTTGACAGACTGAGGGTCTCTGCCTAAAGCTGCGGCCTTCTCCCTGATCTCTTTGACTTTGGGGCGCAGTAGCTTTGGGGAGTGCGAGGAGACGAAGATACCCTCAGCATGTGTTGCCGCGAATTCTGATCCGGCCGCTGAAGTGCCTGCTTGGAAAAGGAAGGGGGTTCTTTGGGGGGAGGGATCGACGATGTGACGTGTATCGAGATCGAAGAACTTTCCGTGGTGGTGAATCGTCCGGATCTTATCGGGGTCGGCGTAGCTGTCGTTCTCGGGATCAGGGGTAATTGCATCATCTGCCCATGAGCCCTCCCAAAGCCTTTTGAATCATTAGTATTTCCATGCATGTTGTTTTGAGATGAGGTTTTGAAGTATTTTTCGCCAAAGACTTACTTGTAAAGAACCCGAAGGTACTCGTCTGCCTGAGCATACCGCTCGTCATGGGGAATTGGGCTGTCTAAGCCATAGCCTTGAATGCTGCTTTCTTCCAAGAAGTGACAATGTTCCAGCCAATGCGACCCCTTGTGAAATGGTCGAGTGTGGAAAACCGCTTGGCGAGAAGGAAGGGTGGCTCAAAGGATGTGGATGCGGTTATGGCGAATGTAAGGTTCTTCGTGACCGCGGCCATGGCACTGATCGGCTACGTTCCGATTGTAAGCGATTATCTAGCACTTGTAACCATGATATGCTCTTACGATGGTAGGATCTGTCATTGGCCATTGGGCCGCTCGACGGATGCAGTTGTCAAGACTTCCTTCATAGGTATCGTAACCCCCATAGGTATCAGCAAGAAAGAGTGCATTGATGCCGCCTCGTTCCAAGAGCTTCGCGAGGTCAATCCAGTAGTTTAGGTCGCGCTTGGTTGCTGACTTGTCGACGGGATTCTGAAGCAGCGAGATTTAGTAAATAGGTGCCCATTCGAAAACGTCTCTTTGAGACTACCAACCTTCCATTGTCCAGGCGACAAGTGTCCGACAGTAGACATGTCAAATGCATTGAGCAAGATCTGCTTCTTTCCCTCTGGTCTGACTTCATTTTCGCCATTAGCTGTGTGAATCGGTACCGAAGTCATTTCGAATGTCTGTTGAAGAGTATCTTCAAGCTAAGACTTTCACTCGTAATTCCAACAGAGCCCCGCGGGCTTGCCTCTGTTTATCAACCCATCTTCATCACGAAATCTTCAACTTGGCGCAGGATCGCGGTGCAAGGAAGTTGCCCAGTCCCCATGTCGTCATCGCCGTTGTCGCCCGCCTCGTGGGACTGGCGCGGGATGTTATCTGCACGTTGACCCCAATTCAACGCCGCCGGTGCAGGGCAGAAACGCTGGCGTGATCGCGGGTGTGGATGGTGCCATCACCCGTCTTCCGAGCCCGAAGACTTCATTACGTTTCGGAGCACAACGCCGGCCGTCTGGACCCTTTGGACTCAGGTGGCGTCGGGTCGGCGAAAAACGACTTATGATAACTGGTTGTTGAGCCGACGATTGCCTCACACATGGTATGGCCGGTATTTCAGGAGACGCATCTCCGCAGCGGGTCGCAACTAATCCCAATGCTACGATGTTGAACGAGGCCGTGATAACCACGCCATACTTGCTAATGAAATTTTCAGATTCTGTTTCTAGCCCTCAGAAAGAGTTCTACTAAGGGCTTTCACGGTCAAAATTTCGCTATCCACTTCTAGCGCCATGTGGGGGTTTGAGGAAATATGCTAAGTAGGCCAGGTTCAACATGTCTCGATCTCAAGTTACATGTTGAGACAGTTATGCAGTTTGTCCTTGAGTTCTTCATAGCCCATCCCACTCGTGGAAAGTCATCATCTACTTGGGTCATGATGTACTGTTTCAAGAGAGCAATGTGCGAGGCGGGGTTTTCCTGAGAAGGCCATGCTTCACAACATCAACTGAGGGAACCATCTGCAAGGACTTGAAGCAGTCATTGATTATTACTGTGTACCTCATCAACTTGAAGTTCGAATAGTCTGGATGAGTCACTACTACATTAACGATGTGTCTAGTCGTTTCAGCAGAACGATCGACTTTTGGGTTGGCACCTAACATCATCTGGTTGGATTTCAAAATCTCCCTTCAGTCGCTTCTGTCATCTCTTCCACTCACTGCAACCGGTGGTTGCTTGCCATGTTCAATGGTTGAGATGTCTTCATGATCACTTTCGGGAAATCCGGCAGAGTTCTCGAGTTGAGGACTATTAGGTAGGGAGTTAGCGCGAATGATGCCTACCGCGTATGAAGGATTGGATTTACTTACTCTCTGCGCTTGACGTACATACGCAAGATGTGAGTAGCGACAATGAGAAGAATGGCGCAGGCCAGGGTAAACGCAAAGCCCTTGGGATACCGAGGTGCCTCGACTGTGGGAAAGACCAAGAGCGGGGTCCATGCTGTAGACGACTGGGAGATGGCGTTGATGAGGACGAGTGTGAAGGATCTTTCCGCTGGTGACGACCGTAATTGTGTATTCACCCAACCATGAAACACGCTCGACAGTGCAACTGAAGAGTAGATGGTCGAGAATGCGAACCATTTGGCAGGTTCCGGGACGTTCCAGATGGTCAAGATGAGAAGCCCCAGGGCGTTCCAAGCACTTGACATCGTGATTGCCCAGGCCGGTCCCATAAGGAGATCCGATGCGAAACAGACGAACAAGGTGTAGAAGATGCCAAGAGCTGGCGCGATCGTACCAAGTTCGTTCACCTTGGCTGCCGAATAACGACCGAGACTCTTGATCCAGAGCAAGAAGGAACCCGACGAGGTGTGAATACCCGCGTTCCAGAAGAGAACGTCGACGACAATGATACCCCAGAATTGCCACGAGAAGAAGACTTTCTTCAAGTTGCTGAATTTGAATTTTCCGTGAGATGAGTGACCTGCACGCTTCAGTCTCTCCACGCTAAGTTCGATATTTTCTCTCTTGAGAACAAGTCGGTTGGGCTGTTCAGGGGTGCCCGGGATGACGAAATAGCCCAAGATGCCTATGGGAATGGTGATGAGCGAGCAGATAATGTACATCCATCTCCAACCAGCGAGGCCATGCACTCCATCGAGCCTTGCAGAGGCGCCGGCTTGGATAAGACCCGCAGTGAGTGTGCCTAGCGAAAGACCAACGTAAAAGATGCCACCGCGTCTCGCGATCTCATCTCCTCGGTACCACGAGCCTTCAGAATGCGCGTTAGTAAGCTCTTAAACATAGAGAGTGAAGAGGCTCACCGAAAAGATAGTGCATAACCGGGAAGAAGGCAGCCTCAAACCAGCCGACTAGGAAGCGGTATGCAGCCAACTCAGCAAATCCAGTAACGCGGAACTGGAGAAGTGTGAAGACGCCCCAGGCAATGTCCAAAAAGGGAATGAGCCAATGGATCGGGATGTATGTCAGAACAAACATCATCGGCAGCTGTCCAGTGACAGCACCGATGATGTAAAACGTTTGCAGCTGGACGAGCTCATTGCCCTTGAATCCCAGGTCTTCCTTGAGGCCGGCGACGTAGGCATTGTTTAGGTTCGATTGATCAATGTACTTGACCCAGTAGCTCAGAACCGCGTACGGGACAATGAGAAGGTCAAGTCTGTTGATCAACTTGCGCTCCTCTGGCGTATCGGTGTCGGCGTACCATTGGATATGCCACCACTTGCGACGAGCTTGGACGACCATGGTGATAATCTTGTTGTCACCTTGTTAGGCGAATAGCGGGCGAACAAAGATCTGGATATGTCGAGACGCAGTAAAACCATATGACAACTGCAGGAAGTGGACTTCAAGGATTTCTCTTGCTTTTAGTACCTATCATATCATTATCCCAGCTATCTACTGCCATCACAATTTTTTCAATCCCATGTCTAACCACCCACGCACCGCGCCGTCTTTTCCAGCCATAAAACAAGGGGCCAGTCATGTCTCTTGCGCAAGCACAAACCAAAGAAGCGCAACTTGGCGATGGCGTTTTACCAACGCGAGAATTCGGAGACTACTGCGTAATAGCACCGCATACCACCCGACCAGAGAGCGGAAAAAATGCGACAAGAGGTTGGCGGGTTGCAGAAATGCTCAGGATGAACATTGCACCATCTCAGGGCTCATTGATGTGACAGTGAGACAGCTGTGAAAGAGACGAAAAGGAAAGGCGAGGCGTCCTCCCTGATTTCGAGAGACCACTCAAACACCCTGTCGACTACGCCCCCATCACCGGCCGACATCAACCATGCTCCACCCCATCAACTTGCAGAATTGGAGACAAGTCTTTGCAACCTTCACGACTGGAGCCAAGAGCGGGTCCAACGAGTTGGACTCTGTCGCGGGATAAAGGGACCCATGGAGGGCATCCTGTTGGAGGCTCCGATCTGAGGAGGGAACGGGAAGGGGGGGCGTGTTCGTTGTGATTCCCCAAGAAAGTGGGGAGATGGCGTGCTCCCCATACTCCGCGCACCTCATCTCCAGCAACATCCGCCGTGCGGATACTTGCCCGCAACATTGGATAGCGGGGTTATGAAGCTCCAGCATCTATTGTGGGATGGAGGGCTGATTCCTTTGTGAAGCTTTCGCTTTGATGCTGCGAGATAACAATGGCTCTTCTCTGATAGGACGGCGAGGTGGTCCCTGGGTTGAATCATACTCGAGACCACGGAGCGTCTTCCCTCCAAGTGCGTGTAACGCGTTCGAGCACGACTCTGACGTGATTCCGATGTCCGGATCGGCGAGGGGCAGAGTCGTCGGCTAACAAAATGTGGCTTTCCCATCTTATCTGCTGTGAGATGTGAGCGGAGTCTATCATCGAGACCTGTAGCTTACACGTTCGACTTGAAGCATCGCCAGAGCATTCACAGTCCTAATCATGGGTGACCATATTGATAACACGCCCTCACAAGTCGCGGAGCAGAAGGAGACTCCGATTGAAGCACCCTTGAAGAACGGACTCGACAAACAGACTCTCATTGACCGCACTGTCGACTCACTTCTCACACCACCAAAGTCCATTTATGATGATTATCCGATCAAGCTCATCGACAGATATATAGACGAGCCATCGGAATTGAGAGTTGCGGTGATTGGAGCAGGTCTTTCAGGCGTTCTTGCTGGCATCCTCTTACCGGCAAAGGTCCCGGGCATCAAGCTCTCGATTTACGAGAAGAACGCCGACGTGGTATGTTTTTCACAAAGCTTCGGCTCGGGAATGCCACAAGAAATCCTCTCACTAACATCAACCTTTTCAGGGCGGCACATGGTTCGAAAACATCTACCCAGGCGTCCGTTGCGACGTACCAGCCCACGTATACCAGTCAACCTTCGACCCCAACACACAATGGACGGAGGAATTTGCCCAGGGGGCCGAGATCCGCGACTACTGGCAGGGCCTGGCACGGAAGTACGACGTTTACAAGCACCTCCATCTCGCACAACGGGTTGAGGGCTTGAACTGGGTAGAGTCGCGCTCAATCTGGCAAATCACTATACGCGACCTCGCAACAGACGCAATTCGCACAGAGGAGGCCGAGTTTGTCCTCACAGCCATAGGCCGCTTTAATGCCTGGAAACTACCAGACTACCCCGGTATTAAAGACTTCAAGGGAGTCCTCAGACACGCCTCAAACTGGGACCCAAGCTTCGACCCAAGAGAAAAGAAGGTCGCGGTGATTGGTAACGGCGCCAGCGGCATTCAACTTACGTCAAATCTTCATAAAGTCGTCTCGCGCCTAGACCACTACGCGCGGAACAAGACGTGGGTGACAGCCTCCTTCGCGGGCGACGAGACCTCCATCGAGCCTATCGTTATCCCAGAGGAACTCAGAGAGACATTCCGCAAGGACCCAGAAGCGTACCTTCAGTACCGCAAGGAACTGGAGAGCAAATATTTCCGTCACTTCAGCGGGTGGCTCAAGGGTTCTAGTGAGAACGACGAGGCGCGAGAAAAGTTCCGCAAGTTCATGAACGACAGACTTACCAAGAAACCCGAGCTCATCGACGCCCTCATCCCAGAGTTCTCGCCCCACTGCCGTCGTCTGACACCCGGGCCGGGCTACTTCGAGGCCATTTCTTCCGACAAGACGGACTACATCCAAACA